CAGCTACACGCTGATAATACTGCCCTGATAATTTTAGTACACGGACAATAAGAGTCCGTTTCTCGGGTACCTTTCTTTCGAGATTTGTTCGTACCCCCAGCCTGATAGTACAACTCATCGGCATGATTACCGGAGCAATGTATCGTGTGCTGGCACGACTCCTCAGGTATAACGTCGTTGTCTGACGAACATGTTTCCTTCTGAGGATTCGTCATCTTGTCAGTGCTCTCAAGAGTCGCACGTTTTGATGAGGATTCGTCATCTTGTCAGTGCTCTCAAGAGTCGCACGTTTTGAGTCACGCTTTCGTGAGCGTGAGAGCTCAACGGGCTCTTGGATAATGACTCGCAAGAGTCGCACGTTTTGAGTCACGCTTTCGTGAGCGTGAGAGCTCAACGGGCTCTTGGATAATGACTCGCAGTCCGAGGCAGTCAGTTATAGGAGCTTTCCTATTATAGGAAGCCTTTGATTTGTTGGAAGGGCGAGTGCGACCCCCAACGCGATGAGTTGCTCGGGGTTCATTCATCACGCCCAAGCGTTCTTTGACTGGAGCTTTGCCTTGATCCTCGTGCAAAAGACCCAGGCGTTCCACTATCACTTTCCTGCCTCTGGATATGTCCACATTATCGCGGAACTTCATCGGAGGTGTGGGATTAAAAGGAGTGAGATCTGAACTAGACGAAAGCTGGGAACCAGCTTTGGATCTGGAATCGACCGAGAGACACGACTGATGTCTTTTATCGGGTAGGGGCACTGACTTAGCCTTCGGCACCCAAACCTGCTTAGATCTTGGTGATTTCTTGATCACCTCTTCCCGCTACAATTCTCGTGCCTCTCGCACAAGGATCTGGGTGTGCGCAATAAGTGCACGGCGCTTCTGGACGCGCTCCTCGAGGGTAGAACGGGTTCGTTTGACCTGAACCCATTTGTTAAATAGAGGTTGGGAGGAGGGTCCCGATGCTCGTTGTGGCGATAGCTTAGTCACTCGGTGCTTTCTGAACTCCCAATCTGCTTGGTAACGGAGTCCGTCCACCTGATCCAAAGCCTTGGCGTTTCCTTTGACGCGCTCTCTTTGATAAAGTTGGCGCGCCTTCAGCAATCGACTCCTTGATCACGAAGGAGTTCAGATCTGCAGATCTGGTCTCATTGGATGCCGGCGGATCATTGCAAGGTGCAACTGTAGCAGCGACGACGTAGAGATCGACTTCTTGGGTCTTCAGATCTGGAGACCGGCGGATCTTCTGGGAGGAGGAGATCTTCCTGCGCTTATGAGGAGGAGCAGATCTGGAGGAGGAGGAGATGTATTCTTCAAATTTCTGCTGGTCGAATTCGTACTCGATCTCTTCAGCCACGGGGATCTTGATCGTCGGCTGCGGTACGACAGCCTCAGCATCGAGGCTGTTGGCTCCCACTGTGGTCGCCAGTTTGTTTGCGGTGAAAATTGATTGTTTTATTACGGGATTCATTACAAACTTCAGACGTTTACAACGAATACAAAAATCAGTCTTTTTATAAGACTTTTACACAATGAAAACAAAAAAAATTACAATTCTCTTCAAATAAACGCAACGAGTGTTTATCGCCCGCTGCTTGCGTGGGATCTTGGCATGTGACGGGGACACGTTAATCCGTGGACCACCTAACGATCAATATTTGGACAGAGTTTCGTCTATCCGCGAAGGGATCGAGAAACCGTAGCTCTTATCTCGGCGAAGCGAGATAATCACTCTTCTTAAGATTATCGCAACGGGATAATCCTAAGGAACGAACCAGGCTGCAGATCTAACTCCTCCTCCTCTCTGAAATCTGTGCACTTTAAGTCTTCAATCCGGCAGGGCTTCGCCGAGGCACGAGAATTCCAGATCTGAAAAAATGAGGCTCCAGGGGCTGTATTTATAGGCTTCCAGGAGATTCGGGCGGTTAAAACCGCACAACGGCGGATTTTTAGGGCTGGAGACTGCTTGGGTGTCTCCGGCTGGGCGGAGACACCCTTGGGTGTCTCGGCTTGGGCCGAGACACCTTGGGGTGTCTCGGTTGGGCCGAGACACCTCGGGGTGTCTCAACTCGGGCTGAGACGATTTCTTTCGCACACTCGTTTGTTTCCGCCATAATTTCTTCGTCCGAACTCAGATTTGAGCGATTCAAAGTGCATTGGAAAGCCGACGAGGAGTTATATAAGCTCCAATGATTAGATCATCTATGGAATAAATGAGACACGAAGGGTATTTTGCCTTTTGTAAGCAACGCGGGGCTCCCGATCAATTCGTATCCTCGTTATTCTGAAACTCTGTTGCTTCACGTAGTTTGTCGATTCACTTCAAGCGTTCATCGACGTTAATCGAGCTTCTGTGACTTGGATAGTGCCGTTCCTCACCTCCTCTTAGCATTGAGCTGCTCACGGAGACCTATAGGCAATTTTCGATGCCTACATGCATCTATATGGAAATTTTCCATTCTTTTTGACAATATATTGAAATGAGCAACAACTTGAAATTCTACATGCATCTATATGGAAATTTTCCATTCTTTTTGACAATATATTGAAATGAGCAACAACTTGAAATTCACGCTTAAGCAAAATCCTTCATGTGCATTCTTTTTGACAATATATTGAAATGAGCAACAACTTGAAATTCACGCTTAAGCAAAATCCTTCATGTGTACTTAGTTTAATTTTGGTTAATGATGGATGTTTAAATACATTTACCCTTTAATAGTTTATGCTCTTATTTGCTTATTCTCTTATTTGCTTATTTCTGACAATAACATGTATTTATCTAGTGCTTATGCTCTTATTTGCTTATTTCAAGTTGTGCACATGAAGCATAAGTAACGTATGTATGTACTGTATGAGTTTTAGCACTTATTTGCTTATGCTCTTATTTGCTTATTTATGGCAATAACATGTATTTCTCCAGTGCTTATGCTCCTATTTGCTTATTTCAATTTTTGCACATGAAGCATAAGTAACGCATGTATGTACTGAATGAATTATAGCACTGCATCACACAAGAGATGCTCATTATGCATTCGTAGTAACTCTATGCATATGGCAATGAGTTTGGTATATAAAGTTTTGCTTTTGTTAGTAGTTATGAAGGATTGTGCTTTCATTTATTTTTGTTAGTAGTCATAGCCATAGCCAATTCTATGAGAGAAGTATGTAAAAGTTCATGTCATATTCCTAGTCATCTTAGATTAGTTCCAATTTCCTTAAACTTTCCATTGTATAATATTGTGGTTTTATCTACAATTAGCAGACTAAAACCTCTTGAAATTCATTATAGACAAACTAACTTCTTATGTCCTTTTATTCTACATCCGCATTGCTTGAAGTCACTAAGAAGCTCAGTTCGTACTATCACTTGAATTCATTATAGACAAACTAACTTCTTATGTCCTTTTATGGGGTGATTACGCTGTTCAAGTTTTGCAATATGTACAGAAAACTAATTCAGGAATTATTATAATGGTGATTCAGCTTGCAAAGACAAAACCATATGGAGGTAAATCTTTATTGGAGTTATACTAATTTATCAAAAAAGATATATTTTTATTTCGTAAATTATGCTTATATATTGACATAGTCATGAATTTAAAAACTTTATTTGTTAGGTAAAATTACTATTACAAATGTCTTATATGCGTCCAAGATATTAATCAATCCCGTTATACCTGAAGTTGCTGATCTAAAAAAAAGGTACATGATGAATTATCTCATTCGTTAGTTATTTACAAGTAATTTGATATTATTTCTAATTAGTTTACTTTTACTATCATAAGTCTAAAACTTGTGGAAGATTCTTTGTCTCAACGATTTAGTCAGATTCCAACTGAAAAAGCTTATTCCATCGAGGATGATTTTTTGTTATTAACTGAATGGAAGACACTTGATGAAATTTGAGAGGCACGAGAGATAATTTTTTGGAAGAATATATTTAATTGATATTGCACTGCTTTTTTAAAATGTAGGATTAGTGGCAAACTAGATAACTAACCTGAAGATAATTGATAATTTTCTACCAAATTATTCATAACTTTGTTTTCTCACTATTTAATAATACTCAGGTTTGCACATGTGTGACATTAGCAACTATAGAGAAAATTCAAACATAGTACAATTGGTTTTACAATGCCTGCCAAAAATGTCAGAGGAAGGTAAATGCTGAAAATGGTAATTTTGGTGTGAGAAGTGCAATGAAAACGCAAGATCTGTTATCCCAAGGTATGTGTGGAAGTATGTATGTCAGTTTCTTCAAAATGTTTATTTCATCATATCCTTCATGAATGGATGTCTGGATCTTCAACGTACACTTTAGATCACAGTTCTTATTGGTTTATTTTAATTTTTGAGTTTTAGCAGGTACAGGGTTCAGGTTTTAGTCATTGATCATACATGTACTGCATCATTTGTTTTGTTTGATCGTGAAGCTAAACAAGTTATTCACAAATCAGCAGTCGAATTGAGGGAACGACTAACAAAAGTAATCACTCTGATTCCTTTCTGTAAAAATTAAAAGTTTTAATTCAATAGCTTTACTTTGCTTATTTATATTGTTCACAGGAGGGTGATGATGATTCATTTCCTCAAGAGTTAGATGTGTTGGTGAAAAAAAATTATTCAAGATTCAAGTTTTAGAATTCAATCTCAATCAAAATTGGCCTGTATTTTCTGTCTCTAAAATGACTGATGATAAAAATCTGATAGCAGCTTTCAGAGACAGCTTAGATTTGAACCAGGTACATTACATATTTCCTTCTTTTATATAGCTACATATCTGTTCATTTCATGTATCAATCTGTATATATAGATGAGGTTGAGCAATATATTAGTAATATTTTTTCCTTCTAAATAATTAGGAGTCGACAGGTCAAGAATATTTCACTGATGAAGCTGAATCTTCCAAAAAGAAAGTTGATATTGATAATGTAAGTCAATACACTTAGTATTACTTTTCTTTTTTATTCCTCATGTTTGTATTTTTTTAAAAAAAATTGTGAAATGAAAGGTAAGTATTCATGTAATCCAAAAAAGCATTATATGTACAACCTCCATCCAGACTTAACTATGATCAAAACTATTACTTATACTAACACCTCAACACCTCTCTTCATAATTAAAGGGACAACCGGACAAGTCAAAACTCTCAAATTCACTTTTGCAGTATATTTCACAATACTTATTTTTCAAATACTCTTTTGATGTTGCTGCTTCTTTCACCTTTACCACTTTGAATTTTGTTTTACTATTGCTCTCTTGATTATTCACGTTAACAGTGCAAAAAACTTTTCTTTATATTTTATTAGTATGCCAACTAAATAGATAAAATAAACATGCCTTTATTTTCCAATAATGTGTAGAATATGTTTTTAATGTTAGATTTTTTAAAAGAATGCATTATATATTGTCAGATTCTTATCTAACATATGAGTAGAATGAATTTTAATAATACAAGGTTTTTTTACCATTTGAGTTTTAGAAGTTTTCAAAACAAATGAAAGCTTGAAGTTTAGTCACATTATTTTTGGTTTATGTTCTATTTGCCAATGACCCATTATCAATCTTGTGAAGCTTCCAATTAACTTTTGACACAATGCATCAAAAACTTTTGGATTGCCTATTTCTTTTCGCCTTACTATTGATTTCTTGATTCTTCACATTAATTGTACAACAATCTTTTCGTGCCACCTCATTAACATGCTAACTTTTATGTTATACTGAAACACAGGTCTCGCTATCGGTCACTTGTGATAATGAAGTTGAAATCCTCGGATAACATTACACCTTGCAAGAGAAATTTGTTGGAATCTGATGTCAAGCACTCGGTTGCAGTAGACTTGATTTCTCCGCAAATGTCAAGCAACAAAAAGCAAAACAGATCAAAATTAAAAAAGAGAATTAGAATATTCTACAGAGAGTTCAAGCTCCTTTTTGAAAAAAGTCTATCTGATTCATGATGTCTGAAACTTATATTTAGTATTCTGGTATAAAACCTTATTTAGTAAACTTTTGTATGTACTACATATTTTTTTGGTGGTTTTGCGTTGAGAAACCTAACTACTTGATATGATTATGATGGATATTTTTTTATCAATATATTGATAATTATTATTTTGATTCGTAGATATATATACTTGACATGTATCTCTATGTGCTTTAAATATTTTTTTTGGAACTAAACTTTATGCTGCATACTACTTTCATTTTAGGCAATTTTGTTATGAGAATAGGGAAATTATACTTGACAGGTATAGCAAAATATTATAACATTAATCATATAGACATGAGGCATTTTAAGCAATTTTGTTATGAGAATAGGGAAATTATATTTTCATTCTTTTTTACAGTTTAATATTAAGTCAAACATATATGTTTGTTATGAGAATAGGGAAATTATATTTTCATTCTTTTTTACAGTTTAATATTAAGTCAAACATATATGTATCTTAGGCTGTATCATTTCTGACTACTTATATATTATTACTATTTTATTTTGCATTCTTTTGCTACATCAATTTTTGTATATTACACAAATCTGTGCATCGAGCCTGAAACTAGTTAGGTATAAAATAATTTAAGTTGAAAAATAATTTAAGTTGAAGTGCAATACATATGATGTCGTATAAATAGAATTGATTGCGGCTTATATCTCAAAAAGCCCATTGACTTACAGCCCAATTCAAGCCTACCCATTTTTCAAGTTAACCCATTAACAAGTGACGACCCATGTTGTTTAATCACCGACCATCTCCGGTCATCGTCCGCCGCGCTCCGGTCGTCGGAGCCCTCTGCTTCATTGGCGCTAGGGATGGCAATTCTGGTCCAAACCCAATAACCCAACCAGATCCATCCAATATAAAACTCATCCAAACCAACCCATTTAGCTAAATGGACTTAATTGGGTGGGTAACTATTTCTATAGTGGTTAAATGGGTTTTAAATGGGCAGGTCTTGACCCACCCATAACCCACCCAAACTTAGCCAGCAAAATAGAAATTTCCTCTCCCCTCTCTCTGCGATTCTCTCTCTCCAAAACCTAAAGATCTCGGCTCCCCTCTCTCTGCGAATCGTCTCTCCGAGCTTCTACGGGATTTTCCCGGTGGCACCACCGCAGATCGGCGACCGAGGGCTGATCGACGACGAAGAAGAAGACGACGGCGGTGATCGGTGACGAAGACGACGAAGCCTTTGAGTAAGTCGACGACGAAGTAGGTAGGTTTAGATTCTGCTTTTTTGATCTAATTGTTTCTAAACGCGATTTAATGTTTGATAAGGAACGATTCCGGTGATTGATTGAGCGATTGTTAAGTTTATGGTTAGTTTTGGTTGATTAGGGTTCAGGATGAATTGGGAAATTAGGGTTTGTGCTGTTTTATGAAATTATGGTGAAATTAGGGTTCAGGACGAAGTAGGTACTGTTTTTTCCCTGTATGATCAAATGCCATCTGTTATCTTACTATGATTATTCCCTAGTTTGATCAAATGACATCTGCGATTTTCTTTGCATTTTCTTTGCCTTTTTTATTTGAACCCCTAGTTTGATCAAATGCCATCTGTTATCTTACTATGATTATTCCCTATTATACTCAATGATAAACGAGGAAAAATATAGAGTAACATTTCGAATAATGTCGCTTTAATATACGAATATTGTTGTAATTACTAAATTGTTCAATTGTAATCTCCTAAATTGTTGATTCACTTTTGTTAGGTACTGTTCTTTTCTTATTGTAGTTATTTAATATATATGAAGCTATTTTATTAACTTTTGACATTTGTTTTGATATTTAAAAGTTATTTTTCTTGTTTCAGCTACTATGTCTTTGAATGAATTTACTGCATGCGATGATGGTAGTGAATCTGGTAATGAAACTATATCTATACGTAAAAGAAGAGCAAAATCAAAAGTTTGGGAGTATTTTACTGAGTTGCCTGTTGATAGTGATGGGAAAGCTAAAGTTCAGTGCAAGAAATGTGACCAAGTTTATGTTAGTGGTTATGGTACCACAAATATGTTGAGGCATATTCATTCTTGCCCAAAACGAGATATAGATGAGGTTGATTCATCGTGGAAAACCATGCCATTAGATCAAGATAATTACAGAGAAATGTTGGCTAGGGTCATTGCATTGCATGGTTATTCGTTCTGTTTTGTGGAACATCAAGGGATACGCAAATTACATACATTTTTAAATCCTGAAGTCAAGCATATCTCGAGGAACACCACTAAAGCTGATTTGCTTAAGTTGTACCAGAAAGAAAAAAAAAATTCTTAAACAAACTTTGAAGCTAGTTCCTAGCAGAATCAGTCTAACTACAGACTTGTGGACCTCTTCAACATCAGATTACTACATGTCTCTTAGTGCACATTACATTGATGAGCAATGGATCTTGCAAAACAAAATATTAGCTTTGTCTCATGTTTCACCCCCATATAGTGGGGCAATTTTAGTAGAGAAGCTATTTCATTTACTGAAGGAGTGGGGCATCGAAAAAAGAATTTTCACTGTTACATTGGATAATGCATCATATAATGATGCTTTTATGAAGATTTTGAAAGACCATCCTGCTTTAAAGGAGCATTTTGTCTCCAATGGTGAATTTTTGCATGTACGATGTTGTGCTCACATTTTAAATCTTGTTGTACAAGATGGTTTAAAAATAATTGATAAATCTTTATCCAAGTTTAGAGAATGCATTAAATATGTAAAGAGTCCTCCTGGAAGGAAGAAAAAATTTACAGAGTGTATCAAACAAAATGGCAAGTGATATGGAGAAAAAGTTTAATAAATATTGGAAGTGTTATAGCAAGATTTTGTCCTTTGCATGCATCTTAGACCCCCGTTATAAGGTGAAATATGTGGAGTTTTGTTTTCAAAAAGTGGGTCTTGGTTCTACTCATGTGGTGACTCTCTTGGATAAGTTAAAGCTTCTTTACAAAGAATATGAGAGAGCATCAAATGATATATGCATGGCCGGTAGTAGTTCGGAAGAGGCCTTTGGAGATGTTCGTGATGATGAGATGCTTGAGTTTGAACAGTTTGAGAGCCAAGTAGTTTCAGTCAGTAGGACCAAGTCTGAATTAGAAGAGTATTTAGATGAAAAGATACTTTCTTGGAAGAAAAATGAGAATCTGAATGTTCTTGAATATTGGAAAGTAGAATCTGAGAAGCGTCCTCAATTATCCATGATGGCTCGTGATATACTCAGTATCCCTATTACTTCAGTGGCCTCTGAATCTGCTTTCAGCATAGCTGGTCGTGTGCTTGATAAGTACCGCAATCGTCTTCTTCCGGAAAATGCCGAAGCTCAAATATGCCTTGGTTCTTGGTTAGAGGAGGTTCTTGTAAGTTGCTTACTTTTTCTTGTTATCTTCTGTAAATTTATGGTGTACATGTGTTATATTAGACTAACATAGTTGTATCCTATGATCTAAATGCAGCTTTGGAAGATATTGAAGAAGGACATTTGTTGGTGCATGATTTTAGTGATATTCAAAATTTTGAATCTGAAGGAGGGTGGTGAAGTGCTTGTTAGAAGATTTATCATCTATTAAGGTATTAATCTTTATTGATATTTAAGCATTGTACTACTATTGACCGCTGCTTTGTAGAGCTAGAGATGAGGTTTCTGTGAATTTTTGTGTGTGCATACCTCTCCATTTTGGCTGTGTATTTGGTAGTATGTTTTCTCTTCTTAGTTTTTCAAGATTGATGCTTATATATAAGAGAATATGTTAGCTTTTCTTATTTTATATCAATTAGGATTGCTATCGATGGGGTTTCAACAATGTCACAAGTGATTGTGTTGTTTAAAACTTTCCAAATGACTCCATAGGAGCATAAATAATCTGATGCCATTGATATATATGCCCTTACGTCTACATATCCTCTCTAACTAATTGTTGTCATTTAACATTTAACTCCCAATTTCTTGTAAGTATTCAAATGAGGATTCCCATACAGGGACTCAACAAATTTCAGTTTCTTCATAGTAGCATGGCTTGCTTCAGCATATAGACAACAGCAATCCTACGGCAATTTGGTCTTTGTGATTCACGGCAAAATTATGTCGAACATAGGAAAACCCATCGCATCCAAACAAGAGTCAAGACAGAAAAAATAAGAAATCAATAAATAAAATAGAGAGATAGAAAGACATAATGTTCCTATTCCAGCAAAAGATAGTTAACAAACACAACAATCAGATTTCACTGTTCAAAATGAAATTGACAAGCTGAACATAGATTTGAATAATGAAATTGACAAGCTGAACATAGATTTGTAGAGCTACAGATTTTCTGTCCTTTGCAAAGACAATAAATGTGGAAGAGGTTTACCTTCCATCTGATGTTCAAAATGAAATTGACAAGCTGAACATAGATTTGAATAATGCGGCTAATACCCTATCAGACAAAACAAATGAAAGTTCAGAAAAGATTAGAAGTGTTATTGATACAGTGTATGGCTCTATACCTTGTTATTTTTTGATCTGGCTTTGTTCTGTCATTGCACTAATGACTTTGTCTACTTATATAGGAGGTGTGTGTTGATTGTGGTAGCAGCAGTGATGCTTATACTTGCAGTAATTGGTTTTGGTATGTATTCTGTGCTCCTTGTGCATTGCCTTACTGCTTATGTTCTCTATTTTTGACCAATTATCTTTCATATTCTGTTTGCAGTACCTTTAAGATCCATGTAAACCAATGTCTTCTGCTTATGTCCTCTGCGGATGATAACCAAGTCATAAGAATTGCACTGCCTTTAAGATCCATGTACTCTTGTCATATGAAAATCTTCAATGTCTTGGCTGACTATGTTACTATTTTTTTTCTACACAATGGCTCTTAATTTTCTAAGTAGATAATACACAGCTGTGAGAATCCTCTGTTAATCTTCTGGAAAATGTCTTGGCTGACTATGTTACTATTTTTTGCAGCAAACGAAGCAGACGTCGCGATGCAAACACATCGACTGCTGCTCATTTTGTTTGTGTTCAGATTGGATCTTCGTCGTCCTCTTCCTCCCCAAGCGCACTACTTTGGTTGACGTCGCCGTGCATGTTTTCGTACCAAACAAGTATAAGGAGTCATATACAATATACGAGAGGAGGTTCTATTGTGTCATTGTAGTAGCACCTTGGACGATTACAAATCATCCAGTTTTAACTTATCTTGTAGTGGTTATTGTTTGATAGACAATGGACTAAAAAGACCAATCTCTTTCAGCATATGTTGATCTATATAATGTTTACTAGTCGTAATGCTGTGTATAAAACTTGGGATCTTAGCGCTTCACATTTTGATTTTCGTTATATGTAGAACGTCTTTTTTTAAACTGTGGAAGCTTTTGAGGTTGATGTTTTTCCGTTGATAATTTGTCTGCCTGTGCTTCCGCCCGTGAAATTGGGTTTCAGGTTGGAAAAGTATTATCTACCGGGTATTGGTAGCGATTTAAAAGTTGGTGATTGTGCTGGTACGATAGTTATTTTATTAGCAATATTAATACTGATTTTACTGTTGGTGAAAGTTTACCAAAAAACCCCTGCAAGTTTACAGAAAACCCCCTGAAAGTTTGTAAGTAGATCCCTAAAATTTACATATATATAAAAGCATCGTAACTAAATGGGTTATTGGGTCACCCATGAACCACCCATTTAGTAAATGGGTGGTTGAGAACCGACCCATTTAGCAAATGCTAAATGGGTCATAAATGGTTAAGTGGTCATAAATATGACCACCCATTTATGACCCAACCAAACCCAACCAAAACCACCCATTTGACATCCCTAATTGGCGCCATCGCGTCCCTCACCAGAGCCCCTCTTCTGAGGTAACTAAATCAAATTACAGTTGTCCACTTTTTTTTTGTTTTGATTAAGAAACTAAGGTTGAAACTGCAATGGTCGAAGTTTGGGAATCAATCGCCTGCTGGAGCTCTTACTTCTTCGTCGGGGAAGCATGGAGGGTTCCTCCGCTATTTGTGCTTCTAATGTTTGTCTATGTTACTGCTCCGAATAAAGAAGCGTATTTGCTAATTGATTTAGATTGGCTGAATTACCAGATTGGTGCATTAGGTGTAGGGGTGTATTCGGTCCGGATATGGTTCGGATATGACACTTATCACATCCATATCCGCTTTCTAAAAACGGATACGGATATGCGTCGGTTAGAAAAAGTCAAGACCATATCCGCGCTAAATGAAAACGAATATGGTTCGGATATTAGAGAATCAGATACGGTTATGATCACGGATACAAATCAGATATTTAGGAAACATATATGACTCAAACATATATCGGATATGACAAAAAAATAAACAATCACATAGATTAAGATAGTACATACGGATGGAATTACTTATCTAATCTAAACCTTGAACAAGTGCCTATACTATAATAGTCTCATTTAGCTTATAGCACGAGGAGTTTAGTGGCACTGTGGAGGATAGTGGGAAAAACACAAACTATGTTAAGAAATATGCGAATCAGATATATAACAGGTTTGTTTGTAATCCAACGGTTGGGTTAATTGTCTTATAATTAATTAAGTGGCCAAGGTTTGAATCTTGGCAAGTGCATTATATTATTGTCATATTCTTTTTCTTAAAATGAACATCTAGATATCCGAACCGTATCCGCTAGTTAAACCTGATTATCATATCTGGAACCATAGTTGAGTAAAAAGGTAAAATCATATTTGAAACCGAAACTGTATCCGGTCGGTTCCAGATTTTGACTATCGCCCCTGATTCGGTGCCTATATTTACCAACCATGTTTATTTTGTTGCCCCAAAGGGAGATAGTTGATTCTGTTATTATTTTTATTTTTATTTTGCAAATATTAGGATTTTAGAGGAATAGTGTAAATATGGGAGATTTCAAGGGTATATATATAAAAGAACTATTATTTATACATAGTTGTTATCGAAGCAATAAAATATACCTTGTTGATAAATGTAGTAACTAAATATACCAATATGATAATTTAGCCCTTTTAGATTTCAAGGTTGAATCTTATAGAAAATGATGTAGAATCTGACCAATTTGTAAGTCCCTGCAAATTGCAACAATCTCTAATCAAGAGATCTTCTCTCACACCCGAAGAAACCTTCTTTGTAGAAAGAACACAAATTCCTATAAGCCTTGAAGTGTTGGTGATGTGCAGCAGTGGTTTGGGAACTTTTTCACTCTTTGATTTATGCCTAAATAATCTTTTAAAATGATGGAAACAAAGAAACTTTCAGAACTTTTCTTTACTCAATAGTTAGACTAAAATTTTGAATGAAGAACACTTGAATTTTTACAAAAGTTGAATCTTATGGATATGAATCAATGTTCTTGTTTTCTGATGTTTAAACTTGTTTATAGCCTCTGAAATGACATGTTTTGAAACCCAATTAGCGTCCAAAAACGGCTATAAAACAGTTATTTATTCAAATTCTAAAAAACTAGAAAACTGTATCTGTAGTCGACTATAAGGAGGATTAGTCGACTACACTGAGTCTAAACTGACTTTGTGAAGTCAGAAAACTACTTAGTAGTCGACTACTAAGAGGAGTAGTCGACTACACTGTATATGTGTAGTTTCTAAAATTCTAGACTAACATTGAGTAGTCGACTATAATGCCTAGTAGTCGGCTACACTGTAAAATCACAGATTCTGATATTTTGACCAAAGCTTGATTAGTCGACTACTAAGTGTTTTAATCGACTACTAAGAGGTAAATATGAGATATATGATGTATTTTGAGACTCATCCTTTTTTTATAAACTCTAATGGTTAACTTAGAGGATTTCTATAGTTAACCACACACTAAGCATATGTTAGTGTGTTTTAAATACTATGTGTGTATATGTGTTGTGAATGATCAAGGCTTGTACAAATAATCTAAATACTATGTGTGTATATGTGTTGTGAGTGATCAAGGCTTGTACAAAAATCTAAGTACAGAAAATGTAAAAACACAACTTTACTATTTGATCACATATTCTTCTTTGCTTCTTGTGGCCTTGAACTCATCATGCACTTTGTTCACATATCTTGAGCATATTTAATGTTGTTACCTGCATTGATATGTTAGTGCATATTAATACACATAGAATATAAATTGTTATCATCAAAACTATATCTTGGGGACATGATATCCAACAAAAGATAATTGCTTTCTTTCTATTGTAGTTAGTAGCACAAATCATAGGTGTGTTATGGGGTATTTAACGAGTTGTGCCATTGTGGTACGAATTTAGGTACACAATTCGCCACTCAGAAAATTTAGATTCGAGAAAGCGAGCGTGCTTCGGTACACAAGTTTTGATATGTGATACATTATAAATAGGAAAATTTGCTTCAAGGCCCCAAAACGTGTGCACCCAAGTGGTCCAACCCCAGGTAGTTTGGCACATATGCTAAAGCCCTTAAAAATTAGAAAAAATATGACCGAGCCCTAAGAAAGCTTCTCGTACCCGTATTTTTACCCACAGGCCCAAAAATACCCCTCACTCTCTCCCCCAGCCTCGAATCTAGATCCGAAGCTTGAGGTTGCTCCCGGACACAATTAAGGTGACTTGATGGTGGTTTTGGGGGGGGGAGTTTGGGGTTTTCCCTCCATTATGTGAGGAATCTTGACTCCAAGATTAGTTTATTTTGATGACAACAAATATTATATGTTGTTTGTATTTTGTGCTAACATTTATTTTGCAGTGTCAGAGCTAAATCAACAATGATATTCAAAGAGATATCAAGACATAAGATGAGTTCAAGACAAAATGAAGCAAAGAAGAAGATATACTTTATTGTCAAAATGTAATTTTATATTTTCTTTGCTTAGAAATGTGTACAATCCTTGATCACTCATACACATGTACACACATAGTATTAGAACACACTAACACATGCTTAATGTGTTGGTTAAATATAGAAATCTCCTATGTTAATCATTAAATTTAATAGATACTGAGTGAGACTTAAAACATATCATATATCTCATATCTACCCCTTAGTAGTCGACTAATAGCATTAATAGTCGACTACTAAAGACAAAGACAGAATATCAGTTTTTGTGTCATTTCAGACTAGTCGACTACTAGGATATATAGTCGACTAATCAGCATTGAATTTGAATTTCAGATTTTCTATCGATTACAGTGTAGTCGACTAATAAGTATAGTAGTCGACTACTAAGGAATTATATGATTACATAGAGTCTGTTTGAACTTAGAGTAGTCGACTAATAAGACTTGTAGTCGACTACTCAGATAGTTTTTCTGACTGTTTGACATTTGAATAAGTGACTGTTTATAGCCGTTTTTGAAAGTTTCTTAGGTTTGAAAACTTGTCATTTCAGAGGCTATAAATAGGGTAACATGTCAGAAAACAACAACCAAGATTTGCACTTATAAGATTCACATATTGTGCAAATTAACTCTATAAACTTTCAGTTTTTGAATCTGTTTTTCCAGATAAGAGAGTTTCTGATATTGCCTTTGTTCCATTCATTCTTAGAGATTGTTTAGGCAATATTCAAAGAGTTAAAAAAATTCATAAGCCACTGTTACATGTTCACATCCACATCAAGGCTTATAGAATTGGAATTGAACATTGCTTCAAAGGAAGATTCTCTCGTTTTGTGAGAGGGGTTGATCTCTTGGTCTAAAGGCAGGTTTACAATTAGCATGATGTTGTCAATTGGGTTTGCAATTTGCATGGTCTTGCAAATTGGTCAGGTTTGCTTTTGATTTTATAAAGTTTTAAAATCATAGTGGAACTCTCAAGCGAGATTTGCTTAGGGATTGGATGTACACCGAGGAGGTCGAACCAGTATACATGCTTGTGTTTGTGATTTTCACTTTTTGAGATTGTCATTTCTTTGTAATTTATAATCTACTTTGTAAACTCGCCCTCTAGTGTTTAAGTATAAAGTTTCCGCATATTTTTATAAGAACGCACTTTATTCTTTAGGGTCACGATCCTACACTTAGTATATATAAGCAAGATGACCCTACACATTATATCTCCTCTTAACCCATTTTTGTGTGAATAGAGTTCATTTATGGTGGAAAGGGCACATTTATGAACTTAGGGTTTATGATCTTCAACCTCCCTCCTGCCCTAACGTTCCTTTCATTACTCCTCTTAAATCCTCTTTATTTATGGTGTATAAACCTCTGATTTGCATGGCGTCCTTGGGTAAGAAAGCAGTGTTCTCAAGGGTAATGTGTTCAACCTCTTTTTTTGAATTTAAGTTTGACGTGGCTGAGAGGTTGAAGGTTCCATATGACACATCTTAGTTTTGAGATTGAGAATGAGGATGATATAAAGTGTATGATGGAACACAACCTTAGTATAGGGTGTCTCAAGATCCATATCTGAGCTACTATAGTTGTAGATGTTTCCAAATGTTAGAACACTCTGAAGGAACCTCCTGAAATGTAAGGTATTCGTAAAATTTTGAGAAAGTTATGAATTGTGTGATTAAAATGTGGAGAAATGACTAGTATAGCGAACTGTTTTAGGTTAAATGTTATATATGATTCATATACGTTAACTGTTTGTCACGGTTGTTAAGCTTTACGGTATATGTGTTACTTTTAAAGATGCAAAACTTAACTACTAGCCCTGATCGTTATTTTAAGAAAAAAATATTTATATTTGTGCAGTATTATGACTATATTGAAGCTAAAGTTTATTAATAGCACTTCTGCCGTAAGTCATAGTTCAAGAAGAATTCCCAATGATAATCCTAGCGATAGAAATATAATACGATCTGATGACATTATTAACAACACAGTAATGATTCATGCTTGGTGGCACACTACATTAACTGAAGAGGGTCAAGAATTTAAAAGTTATGATGAATTAAGTTTGGCTTTGACATACTATTCTATGGCCAAAATGTTTGATTATGAATTTAAAAAGAACGAATCAAAACATATCCGTGTTTATTGCCGATGTAAAGAAACTTACGAGTGCACATGGATGTTGTTTACTTCTCCTGTTAAGAATGAAAAGAGACTTTCGATCAAGAAGCTTGTGAATGAACACACTTGTGGACAACACGGGAAAAATACAGGTCATTCAAGGGCATCCCGTAATATCATTACAACACAGTTACAACCACTCCTAAAGGTCCGTCCAGAAATCTGTCCTGTTGATATGCAAAAGGAGTTCCTCACAAACTACAGCCTTAGAATTGATTATAGTAAGATATGATGGTAAAGAGAGCAAAAGAGAAGTTGTACGGGGATATATATGACTTGTATGATCAACTACGATGGTAAAATTTTGAGCTTTATTGTTATAATGTTTTTTAAATGTCTTTTAATTACGATAGTCACATGTTAAGCCTAACAATTAATATGTGAATGTTGCTTAATGCTTATTAACTTACACAGATAATATATTACATCTATTGTTGATCATGTTAAGCTACACCCATAACATGTTAAGTTTCATGGTTTTCTTGTTAAAACACATTGATAACATGTGCAATTTTGCAATTTATTTGGTAAATATCATCAGGAACATGTTAACTTCCGCACTTTGCTTGTTAAGTTACACTGATAATATGTTAACTTCCGCAGTTCGCTTGTTAAGTTACACTGATAATATGTTAACTTTCGCAGTTCACTTGTTAAGTTACACTGATAACATATTAACTTTCGTAGTTTACTTGTTAAGTTACACTGATTTCTTGGTAGCTCTTGTGCTTAGAGCTTTACTCCTATGACCCACATACCTTTTGCTCACCGGCTTCTTCGTCCTCTTCATAAATTTCTAGAGTGGGATGTCCTCAACCTCACCTTCCCCCTACTGTGTATGCACATCCCCAGTCTAAAATTGTGTATTCTCCTCAACATCAGCTCTTTTCTCATTCAACTGCTCGCCCTCTTCTTTTTTATTTACAATTTTCTCATTCAACTTCTATTCCTCTTCTTTCTTATTTACTTTGTCTCTCACTTCTTCATTTCCACTGAAATGCTCCTGAAGGTTACCCTCTTCATAATCAGGCACAAACTCATTATCAAAGAAATCTCTATCGTCAGCATGCCAGTCAGCTTCATTCATGGTTGGCTTTCCTTTCTTTTGCTATGCTACCTTCTTTACATTTTCCTTTAATACTTCATGATCTATTAAGTCACCAGATTCCTTGAATCCTTTAACGTTTTCATTAAGCCTTCGGATCTCGTTCATAAAAGTCTGGCAATACAATTTCTTTGAGTGCCTCAGTGCATGACATATTCTTTGATTTAGTTTAGTAGTATTTCTTCAAAATTTGAGCTCCTCCTCCTTAATCTCATCTTCCCTTTGAAAAGCACCATCAATAACATTTGAAATAATCTGTAATTTATTAAAAAAGTTGAAAACAATTAATAGTTACTTATAAAGATTAATAGGTAAATGCCTACCGTTAACATATATACTTAAATACAAACAGATATTGGATATAGTTCACATATATGCAGTAAATATTAACATGCAATCCAGTAACATTAACATTCTCTCATCAAAGTTAATAGTTCATCTGTTATGCTTGATACATAAAATGAGAAACTTGATATACACTGATTTAGATCTTATCAAACCTATTAATGATCTCTTCTTTTTGTCCATCTTTTCTTCCTTCTTTTCTTTTATAATTTTTTTCGAAGAAGGTGGTATCTTATGCTTCTTTACTAGATGGATGGAAACTCTTTTCTTCTAATCCTCATTGAATCATCTTCCCTCATATTTGGCCTTCTGAGTGGATACTTTTCAACCCATGAGCCAAATTCAACTATCGGTTTCTAAACTAAAGCAATGCTAGCTTTTCTAGCTTTTGCAACAATTGTGTCCTTTCGGAGAGATCCAGACTTCTCTCCAATCATCACCCGGTTAGTGAGTGGTGGCTTGAATCTATTGTTCAGGACATATTTTTTAATCACTACTATTTCGTAGTACCATAGCTGCAAACAATTTGTTCCAATTAATCAGTTAATATACACTACTAATCTTTTTAACATGAATATAGTTAACAGAACTAAACTATAACACAAACCTCACAAACATTAACACTAACGTCAATATAGTTAATATGAACCAATTAACCTTAATTACCTTTAACTTTAGTTCACAGAATACAAGCAAACGTTCACAAACACAGGTTAACCATATCAATAAAAAAATTAATACAACTTACAAAGATTAGAGGCATGCATCCAGGCACATATGAAACCCCTGGCTTGTTCAGACCTTCCCGAGCAATCTTAATTAGGGTTAACAATCAAACAAATGTGAGAAATAGAGCACTTGTTTGAATTTATTATCTTGTTAGTAAATATCCAAGTAGAGGGTGAATTTTATTATGGTTGAAAAAATAAAATATTATTTTTTCTTTTTAGATCTTAATTGTCTCTAATTGTGAGAAACTAACTAAAAGAGTGGAATTAAAAATACTAGAAAGAAGAGTTACCACAAGCAAATCTTCAAATCATCGATCTCCAATCTATGATCTTCAATCTCCAAGTGGTTCCTTCACAAGAAACATATAAGTTAAAGAACCAAAATAAATAAAATCCTACTTATAAGCATCATTTAGTCCATTCCCCAGCAACGATGCCAAAAACTTAATAGGGTATAAATGATAGCCAAAAGTTGTAAGTGCATAACTATTAAGTCATAGTATAAAAAGTTATCGATCCCACAATGAAGGTGTTGTGGATATTAATCTAAAATTGATTCTTATGTTGTGTGTGTGACAAATTAGGAGTGTTGAAAGTGTGTGATTATGGAGAGATATGAGGAGTGGCCGTGAATATATGCAAATAGAAACAAATTGAGGTTGAGAGGAGAGAAGGAAATCAAAGAAAATAAAGAGGAAAGTAAATAATAAAAATCAAGAACAAAGAGAAAATTCAAAAAAGTAAAGATGGATAATTCAATTAAAGATATGAGGAATCTAGAATTGAATCTACTAGCTAATTTGAATTATAAACTATGAACCATTCTCTTTGTATTACATTTTACTTTAGATTTATTAAGCATAGACAATCAAACCACTTAAGGAAAGCATAACCTATCAAATTATCATCTAAGCAAAATTAACATTCATGAAAAGCACAACAACTACATAGTAATTCTAGAATTTATAAGCATAACCTATCAAACCACTCAAGATAAGCATAGATTATCAAAATTTTCTTCTACCAATTAGTTATCAAGTTAATTATTCTACACATGATCATTTTAAGCACAAAAGAATAATTCACAAACTATAAAAAAAATTAGGCTAGTTTCATACAATTCTAGAATTTCTACAAGAATTAATTCCACATCTTAGGAAATAAAAACAAGAAATGAAATCTATACTAGAGTAGAATAAAAGAAAAGAGTGAAGATAAAAACTGATTACAAAGAAGAGAAATGAGAACAAATAAATTTACACTATGAACATAAAAATAAATCTAACTAAGTTGTAAAAGAAAAGAACATAACGAAAATCTAGATTATGAGAGAAAATAAATCTATTCTACAAACTAAAAGTGCAAGACAGTAATGAAAAAATAAAGACAAGAATATATATCTATTCTACAAGGCATTAATGTAAATCTAAACTACTAAAGCAAGAAGAAAATAAATTACTACAATAGAAATAAGAAAATAAAAATAAAAGGAAAATTTTACATTACAAGAGGGTTTTAGCCTCTTGAAAGCAAACATTCAACTTGATCTTTATTTTCATCTTCATCTACATCTTCATCATCAAACAAAGAGAAGAAAATAAAAATATGAAGATGTGAAAAAAATATTAATTGTAACAAAAAGTTATAAATTTGCAAGATCTTCTCAATTAAGAGTAACCCTCCTCTCCAAGTGGAGTTTTTACAAAAAAATTTCACACCTCAACCCCTCACTCTTTACCCCTATTTATAGAGTATTACAACAAATATCAAAACTCTTGGATTAAACTTGATCCCTAAGTTAATCAATTTTAGCCTTTGATCTGTAACAGTAAACTTAGTATCGATACTGCTATCGATACGGGTATCAATACCGCCATCGATACAGGTATCGATAGCCAGTCATTTCGTTCTTTAGCCGATCTTCTCTTGTGTGTATGGACTTGGACTCTTGGGCTTTTTGAGAGATAATATATTGAGTTTTTCTTGGGTTTTTATTCATTAAATTGCAATTAAGATAAAACACATTTATTAGTGACATATTTATATAAATTAAATAGATAATGAGAGTATAAAATATAATAAAAATGTGATTATCAACTAACTTTGATATTTGACAGTGTATCGAACACGGGTATCATAATCCTACTAAGGAGATAGGATGTTTTGCACTTAGGGCTTGTTTGGTTGTTGTTTGTAAACTTATGTATTTATGACGCAAATTAGAAAGTTGTTGTCCACCTCATCATTCTCATTTTTACTTTTTTCTTTGTTTGGTTTGGAATTGATTGGAATCATGAAATGAAAATAAAATTGTTGTTTGGTGTGTGTAATGAAACTATATAAAGTAATAGTTATGTGGACCTCACTCAAATGGATCATACTACCATAGGTAAGATTATCTCTCTAAATGGATCATATAGTAATTAAAATATTTATTTTACATGTTAAAATAGTTTTAATCCTAAGGAAACAATGTAGAAAATAACTTTTTTCCTTATTTATATTTTATTTAATTTACATATTTGACATATTTAGGATAAATTTTAATAAAGCGATCCTAAACCTTGGGGTGGGTTCACAAAAGTTATGATAAGCTAATCCTTAATGTGAGATCAATGTAGAGGATAAAAATTTAACTCTACCAAACTAAAACTTACATATTTATCTCAAATTGAGCGAAGCTTGATCAGCTTCCCAAGTTATATTTAGTAAAAATTCAGTTAGACTCTCCATCCATCTTCTTTATCATCACCACCACCACGACCATCAACATCTCTTCCAATTCTCAACTTAGACAAGGTAAAAACCCTATTGCACCAAATGATTCAACTTAGGAATTGTTATCAAGGATTTGACCAACCAATTCCCAACTAAAAATATCGGTGAAGGAAACAAGGTAAAATCAAAAATAAGCAAGTGAGAGAGGTTTGATTCATGATGCTTACGAGCTTTGACAATAATCCTTCAAAATCCCAATTTTTGTTTCTCATTTCTGCCGAGTGTCGAGACGAAGTGAGAGATGAAGAGGAGATTCGGGCTTAAGTTTTCCTTTCACTGCCTAACTCCATTGGAGGTTTCAATGGGTATAAGAGGATAATAAAAGGAGAAGGAGGTCATCTTTTTTTTTTTGGACATCAGAACAATACGCATTTGGACGAGAGGAATAAAGAAGAAGAAGAAGAAAGAGACAGGTAACCATAAGCTTTCTAGGAGATTATTTCTTTTTTCTTCTTTTGTTTTTTGCCTTTAATTATTTCTGACAAAAAATCAGCTTTCTCACCCATTTGGGTGATTTTAAAGTGAATTTGGTTTTACCGTGACACGTCAGTATTTGGTCTGACAAATCGACAGTTTACTATGTGGTTTAATGTGCAAACAAACAAGTGAAATTTTATAAAGTTGTCAATCAGACCCACAACTTTACACTTTACACCACTTTACTTGATGAAAAAATGCATCCAAACAGCCCCTTAACCTCTAAGAAATGCGAAACTCTTATTGAGCGCCCCAGTAAACTTTGGATTACATAGTGCCTAATATTTTATTTTTTTTACTTAACCCTTCATGACTATTTTATGATGATTTTTTATATTCTTTATTTAAGAACTAAAAAATGAGCTGACATTATCATGGGGTTTTTATTTTAAAAAATGTGTTGGAGTTTTCTGAAAATCCTAGAATTATTAGGATTTAGTAATCAAAAAATGAGCTGACATTATCATGGGATTTTAATAAAACAAATTGTGCTGGAGTTTTTTGAAATTCCCAAAATTATTAGGATTTAGTGAAAGTATAAGAAAAAAATTGGGGTTAAGAGTCAGGCGCCCAAACTTGCTGGGAGTTCAGTTAGATTTACTCAAATGCTAAACATATCCGCATGCAAAATAAAAAAGATCTCAATATCCCTTTCAAATTGGATAATGGTAACTAAACCAATCTTTTTTAAATTTCATGATCCTACTTCTTCGCAAAACATTCATGAGCTCTTCTAAAATTAATTAGTTTGTTGAAGCCCATCACAGCGGTAAATGCTAGCATGTTATTCTGCAGTTGTTTTGGGACTAATATGACTATTTCACAAGAAATTTTTAGGTGCTCCGCGAGCACTACACCACACCCATAAGAGAATGGTGTGTAGCACAAGAAAAAAAAATTTTGACGAAAAAAACAAGGGGTATACCCTGTTCATTAATAAAAACAAATATCTTTACAAAAAAAGGATACGAACTGCATCTATTTAAAGAAATTAGTAGATAGAAAAAATTAATTTCCCGAACTAGAGATGTATAACCTTCTTCTCCTAAACATCCATGAAGGTGAAAAGAGGTTCTTGACGTCATTCACCATTGACATAGATATAAAGGAGAACCAAAGCCGGTCATACATATAGTATAAGGAATTAAATTTTCTATAAACCAATTATAAAAACAAAAAAAAACAGACTACAAAAGTGTTATGAACACATTGCACCCAAAACTAACTTATGTTGTTAACCACTGCTCCTTGTGATCGGTTTTTCTTCTAAAGCTCCTGCTAACTTAAGAGCATCCTTCTTTCTTCCAGATCCTGCCCATTCATATAAAACAACAATAGTTGAGTTCATGATAGAATGAGCAGAGAAAGTTACTTGCTCAAAAATAAACTTGTTTCTTGTGCTCCATATAAACCAACAAACTGCCGAAAAGATAGTTCGCCATAACAATACATCCTTATTATGAAGAGAATCAACAGATGACAACAGTCCATCAAGAGATGTAGGCCAAACGAATGGTAGATAATAATCACTGAAGTGTTTCCATACTTTTTTAGCTGTGTTACATGAAAAGAAGATATAATTGCTAGTTTCCGGTTGCATACCACATAAAATACAAGAAGGTTCACCTTGCCAACCTTTCTTAATGAGATTATCCTTTGTGTTTAGACGATTCAGAGATAGAAGCCATGTGAAGAGCTGAACTTTGCTTGGTAAGATAGGATTCCATACTACTTTATAGAATGCAAACATAACACCTCTGGAATTTAAAAAAAAAATCATAGAATGATTTAACTGTAAAGGAGCCACTTGATGAAAGTGACCATTGAGGAACATCGACTTCATTTTTCACTCTATACAAACCAAGAAGATTTATAAGATCAAGTTTGGCTGAGTTGGAAGCTGGAGAAATGCTTCTCTTTAAAAGAGGATGCCAGTGCCATATACTATTGTGGAAGTTTCCTTGACTACGAATAGATACATTAGTGGATAAGGCAAGACTGTATATAGATGGATATAGACTTGATAAAGTATTATTGCCAATCCATTTGTCCTCCTAGAATCTGATATTTGTACCAAATCCTAGGTACCATGATATAAGATGTAGGAAAGCTTCTTTGTTGAAAATAATACCATTCCAAACCATAGAGTTCTGGCCATTACAGTTAGATAATTGCGGACCGTAATGAGGCACTAACTTGCCTTCACGAATAATAAAGAGAAATGTAGCCTCAATGTCAAAAAGCTCATTAAATTTCAGCCCAATCCAAGCCCGTCGAATTTAAAGGTAACCCATTAACAGCCCATGTCCTTTAATTACACTTCTCGGAGAAGTGACACCTCTCTCCTTCTATGGAGCTAGTTATTCTCCAAATATCCAAGCGAAGCATAAAATTTGGATGTCTCTCGAAACCCCTCTCCCTAAGATTCCTCACCTCCGCCTCTCTCACCGCCAATCTCCGGTCATCCTCCGCCGCGCTCCGATCGTCGGAGCCCTCTGCTTCATCGGCGCCATCACCGCCCTCGCCAAAGTTCCGTTTTTGAGGTAGCGAACTGAAACTAATTATAGCTTGACTTCTTTTTGTTTTGATCGGAAACTTAGGTTGCGATTCTGTAGGTCAAAGTTTGGGCATCAATCGCCCGTTAGGGCAGTTCATTCTTCATCAGCAATGGAGGGTTCAACTGCTACTGTGCCTTCTATCGTGGTATATGTTACTGTTCCCAATAAGGAAGCAGGTACTTGTTAATTGCTATAAGTTGGACGTTTGATCTGATAACAAGCAAAAGATTGTTTCTTTGTTTCTACTGGATTTAGTTGTGCGAACCCATGTTGTGACTATTAATGATAGTTTCTATAGGGAAATCTTTAAATTTTAGATTGAAGGTGTGATTTACGGCGGAAATGAAAGAGAATAGTTTGAAGGGGGCTTATGTAAAACTTCATTTTCTTGAATCAAAGTAAATTTGCGGATCAAATTAATGCATTCAAGTATAATTGGCCTATGGGGTGAGTCATATGAGAAGTTCATAAAGGTCATATGAAGCTGAATCTTTTGAAAAGTTCTCTTGCAACAATGCAAATATGGCATGTGTCAATCTCAAGAATTTTATTATTCTCATCACAAGAAATAACAAGGATAAATGGAGTGAAGACCGTGGAGGAAAGGTAAAAGAACTGGAAATGCCACAAATTAACATAGAACACAATGCTTGATTACTTTCTGTGCTGTATATGTGGTGCCAGTGTTATATTGAAGATTAATGCTCCAATGATATTGTTTACTTTTTCAAGAAAGGCCTAAGTTGTCCTTGAGGCTGAGACCTCCAAGATACCAACCTCTAGTTTTAGGCTTTTAGCATTGAGCTAGGCCTCATTTGCAATACAGCTTGATTTTAGTGCTCAACTTTTTGCTGCTGTAAAACTCACTGATAATATGAGGGAGCACTTCCAGCTTACTCATATCGGGGATTAACTATTTTATGTTGTTGAGAATCACTTGTCTGCTAATAGAGTGCTGCTACCAGGACCTGAAAATGGGATAGAACCCTGGGACAGCTGATGTGGCATGGATGACAGCTAGTTGTTGGCAAAGCCCTTTAATAACACACTAAGGGTATTGTTGGCATAACACTTCATTTTTTTATACCATGTCTTTCTTCCATGTCAAACCCTCATCGGTTTCCCTTCTTCCCCTAGCTAGCATCTGTCCTAGTTAACCCATCAGAAAATAAAAGCTATAAAACGAGTCTATGGATGCAAAAATTAAGTAGTATTCTGATGGAAAGTTTTGTTCTTAATTATCCAATTAGGATTTAGAAGATTGTTGTGTCCATAAGTGCAAGGATCAGGATCTCGACTTGTTTTACATATAACCCGTTGGAATTCCATAAAGAAGGTTGAGGAAGTCGTAGCTTTAGGTAAAACAAGTTGGAAATTGTTTTTTTTTTAATTGTCAAGAACTTGATTTTAGCTAAGTGGGTCAGAGATTTTAGCTAAGTGGGTCAGAGATTTTAGCTAAGTGGGTCGGAGATTTTCAGTTACGTCCTGAATATTTTTAACATCCATATGTAGTTTTCGATTGACAAATTATTAACCAAAAAATGTTGCTCTTTAGAAAAATTGGATGATACATCAGTCTACCGGCAAGGTAAATAAGTTATTTGATGAATTTTCTCTCTGGGAGGTAGTTGACGAAGGTGGGTGATTTATGCTAAACCCATTACCATTTTACATTAGTTAAAAAAAATCAATTTTGGCTTGTATGTGTCAATTTCAATTTATCTCTGCTGACTAGAATCCTATTGAAAAATAAATCAAGTTTTATTTTGTTTTCTTATATCATAGAAAAAAGAAGATGATGATGATGAGTTGGGGATAGGGATGCATTCGGTCTGGATACGGCTATGATGCTTACCATATCCATATCCGCTTACTCATCTTGGATACGGATACGGATATACCTCGGTAGGAAAAATTCATATCCATATCCGCTAAAATCGGATATGGTTACGGATATAGATACGGATATATAAACGGATATGCATGTGGATACAAAACGGATATGAGAAAACTAGATAGTATTTAGAAAAACATAGTTCATATGATACAAAAAAGTCGTTAATATGTTCATTATAACTGAAAAGCTAAGATTAGACATCTTGATCTTCAAAATTAATCACAAATCCATAATTTAAGAATCGAAACTATCGTAAGAGTATAACTAATATGTATTCGGATGTTTTGGATACGGATACAAATATTTCACTACAAAATCATATTCGTAACCATATCCTATTGGTTATAAATTTGAGTAACCATATCCGTATCTTAACAGATACGGTTAAAGATATTTCCTTGGATATGGATACGGTTTAGCACCCCTAGTTGGGGAAGGTAGAAGAAAAAAAATGGCCTAAAGATTCTTGGAACTGCTAAGGACTCAAGGAACTAGATTGTGGGATTCCAAAACTACCCTTAATAGCTTTGTTCCTTTAATTACATTGGAACTAGAAGAAGTTTAATATATTTAGAAAACTCTAGCCATGTCAACTGTCCCAAAATTCGGTCCCATAGCTTGGGTCCAAAATGAATTACTCTTGCTAATATTATTATATCCCCCAAATGTTATTCCTTTTCCCCCCAAGGGAAGTAAGTGAGCACGTTGAGCTCTGCTCATCACCTACGTGCATAAAGAAGAACCATCAAGAATCGAGGTTAGACAATTAATGAAGTAGACTATTAATAAAGAGTAAAAGCATACTTAAAAAGAATTTGCTTCACATAAGTTAAAGGCATCAAAGAGGATTAATAAAGAAGAGTACTAAAAAATACTTAATGTCTAAAGAACTTTCTCCTTGTAAGTTCAAGACATCATTTCATTCATGTAAAGCCACAAGTACTTTCTTAGATTGTTATAATCTTCCTCGAACTTAAGTGGAAGGAAAGCCCATCATTTGGACCTTGCAAGGCTACCTGAGGCTATGGCAGTTACTTTTGTGGTGAATGACACCCGTCCATGGGCAATATCAGTCGGCTATATAATAATGGTAGTAGTAGTTTAGGACATAGTTTCCATTTTTACAAGCCCACCATTGAGAGAATCTGCCATCGTAGGCATGAAAGGTTGTGGAAGGTAGGAGAAGGGAAAAGAGAGAAATAGAAGGAGAAGAACATGGTGCAAGAGCAGTGGTGGATTCGGAAAAACTTTCTTAGGGGGGAATGTCAAGTATGTATTTACTTAAAAATTACAATATAAATATTACTAAACGACATTATTGACAAATGGGCTAAATTTCCAATTTAATTATGCTAAAGTTCAAACGAGGTGGAAATATTTTTAAATTGTGGGGGGGGATTGTAGACTCACAAGGCATTAGAATGTACTTTTCCATTAGCTTAGCGGGTGCAGTTGTGCCCCCCCCCCCCCCCCCCCAAAAAAAAAAAGCTTGCATATGCAAGTCTGCCACGTGAGGAGTGTGCGGAAGAGGGAGGTTGAGGTAAGTGGGGCAGAGAGGAAGAATGATAAAGAGATGGGAGCAAGAATGGAGCAGGTGTAAGTGAAAGGATACACAAGGCAAAATTAGATTATTGGAAAGGGTTGATTTCACAAAATGCCCTTGAATTTTGGGGGTATTGCGCATAAGAACCTTGTGTATCTCTCATAAACCCCCCTAACTATAGGGTGTCTCATAAAACCCCCACGAACTTTAACTAATCTCACCTAACCCCCGTACTTGTAATTTGCAAATAACTAAAATGTCTTTGAGTGAAAATTTCTCGAACTTTATTACCGGTCATCTCTGTTATCCGGGTACTTTACACATACCTGTACTTGTACCCAAACTTCTTGGACGCTCCTTGCATATATGCATACATTTATTCGGGCATGTACTCAATTATACAATACATGTTTTAATTTAAAACGTTTGTCATATATTCTTTTGGATATGTATTTTGCATTTCACATCCACTTCTTCAAACTTGTTTGACATAGGGCAGGTTTTGGATTATGATTTTGAAGGGGCATTTGGATATCTAGTCCAGAATATAGTATTTTTCTAATTTATAATCCACATAATAAAAAAACATAAAAATGTTATAGGAAATTTAATTTTCATTCTTGTTCTCATAAATTATTAATTTCAACATATGATATATGTGTGTATAAATATTTATTTAGTCGTGTCCTCGTATCCTACCTTTTATAATTTTGTTGTATCTCATAACCCTACTTGTACCAGTACCCGTACCCGGAACCATGTAACATAGCCAGTCATTTATAGCAACGTACTCCTTCAGCTAAAGTTATGAGGGTTTTTTTCTCTCAAGAAAATTTTAGTTATTTATAAATTAAAGGCTAGGGGGTGTTACGGATTGTTGGGAGGGGGGTTAAGTAAGATAAGCTAACGTTCATGGGGTTTTGTGAGACCCCATAGTTCAGGGGTTATGTGAGGTAATCAAAGTTAGGGGGTTTTATGAAATTAACGCTATTGGAAATTGGAGGTGTACTGTTGATAGGATTCATAAAGGAAGAAAGGAAGACATCAAAGTGTAAGATGGTAAAGAAAGGATGCTCCATTTATGAGGTTTTTTTCTCTCAAGAAAATTTTAGTCATTTATATCAACGTACTCCTTCGGCTAAAGTTATGAGGTTTTTTTCTCTCAAGAAAACTTTAGTTATTTATAAATTAAAGGCTGAGTGGTGTTACAGATTGTTGGGAGGGGGGGTTAAGTAAGATAAGCTAAAGTCCATGGTGGTTTTGTGAGACACCCCATAGTTCTATGGGGTTATGTGAGGTAATCAAAGTTAGGGGGTTTTATGAAATTAACGCTATTGGAAATTGGAGGTGTACTGTTGACAGGATTCATAAAGGAAGAAGGGAAGACATCAAAGTGTAAGATGGTACAGGAAGGATGCTCCATGCATGAGAAGGATGGTCAGATGATATATGGTTGGAGGATATAAAGAGGCAACGGACAAGATGGAAATAGAAGTGATGGGAAGATGCGGAAAGAGGTATCAGTAGAGATGAGGAAGAAGGACGATGGAAGGTTAGAAACATGTGAAGAAAATGAGTTGATTGCATTATGCTTTGTATGTAAACTAGATCTTAGCATTGTATCACTACTTTCTTAACTAACCCACCAAACATATATATGAAGGTAATTTGGTGAGTTTTCTGACCTTAATATTTGAAGGAAATAAAATGAACTACCACTTCTTTTAAAGTTTAAGTGGTTGGATTAGTGAAAGACGTGGTGGCAAACCCTTGACTTTCAAATGCCTAGAGTTATCCGATTTGCGGTAAAACTTAGGTTGGATGGGTTTGGTAAATTAAGACATGTACTAGATTTATGGTAAAGGCTCAGCATAACTTTGAGAATTTCCATTGAGTTTGAAATTACCAGACTTGTTTTATTTCATGTTCAAATTCGGCGGGAGGGGTTTGATAAATTGAGCAATGTAATTGATATGCGGAAAAAAAGGCTATAAATGTAGTGTTTGTGTAAATAATCGTAGCAAGTTTTGCTAGGACTTAATTCAGCATAACCTTTTATATGTAGTGCATATTTCATAAATTTCTTCATGTAAATTTCTCTTAATTTCAACTATTAATATCTTCGATAATGCAGGCAAGAAACTTTCAGAAAGCATTATTACAGAAAAGCTTGCTGTGTGTGTCAACCGTGTGCCAGGTATGCGTTTATTTTTTTCTCTTTGATGCTGATGAAATCTGATTTCTGACTGAATCTTGTATGGTTATAAACTAATCAAGTTACTATGGTATATGCGTATGCTTTAATTATTTGGTTCTGCCACAAATTATTTTTGAGCTTTTACGATGTTGCAGCTATGCACGTGTGTATATGTGTGTGTGTGTGTGTGTGTGTGTGTGTATTAGTTATTAGTTATTGTACTGATGTTTGGGTGAGTATTATTTATACACATTCTTACATTCTTCAGCTTAAAAATTAGATTGCATTTTGTAGTATTACCAATGTTTTTCTAATATATACTTTCCTTCAGAGTCTACTTTCTGTTCTGATACTTAATGCTCTATTGTTACTGTTGAATTAGCAAAAATTTTCAGAGTTACGTGCAGAATTTGCTCAATTAGTAATAACTTTTGTGATTTATTCTATCAAATTTCAATCTATATTTGCAGGAGTCGAATCTGTTTATTGGTGGGATGGCAAGGTAAATATCTGATGCCTGGGCCAAAAGCGTTCATGGTCTCTCCATTTCATTAATTATACTTTCCCTCATAACAACTTAATTTCTGTATTCACCCAATGGAGTTGTCCTTCTACGATATTATTCTTTTACATCATAGTGTTTCATATGTCACAAATGATAAAAGTTCTAAATGATCAGGCCTCGATAATACATCATGCTAGTGCTGGCTCATGGAAAAGAATCTTTTTGGTTGTTTTTCCATGAGGGAAAAGATATAGCTGATTTTATTGTCTTTTTATTGCTATTTTAACGTGCAGGTACAGACAGATTCTGAAGAACTGCTCATAATCAAAACTAGAGAATCCCTTCTGGATGCCCTGACAGAGCATGTCAAACGAAACCATGAATACGAGTAAGCTCCATTTTGGGTTTTAATCACCATGATACTATTATTCATCGTCATGTTTTGTATGCCAGCACTTTCATTCACATGTTAGTGCTCTTAGTAATTCTACCTAGCATAATGAGCATCCAAAATACAAGAGGGTGAGGTTCTGGATGAATGCCTTTTCCGAGTCGTGTACTATTAGTAAGGCTGTTGTAGTGCCTGTAATGAGTCAGCAATGGTGACAGTGGAACATGCAAATTGAATTCCTTATAGCACTTGTTGTGATGATACTAAATCGAAGGCCACATATGAATCAAATATAACTACTATTTACATTAACAACAATATGTTTATATATGTAATTGCTGTCATTCATTTCGCATATATCATTTCAGTCATTTCTCCATTTGGTTTTCACTCCTTTCCCCCATTTGGATTCATTCTATGGACCATTTATACTCCTGTATCATGTGTATGAGCAACAATTGGCCAAAAGGTAACAATTTCTATGTTGCGATTATTCTATGCTCGGTTGATACGGAGTGGACCAGCTACATGCAATCTCAAATTGGTTGGTTCATTTATTTTTCCCATTTGCAAATTAACTGTAAATTTCTATAACAATTTCTATGTTGTGATTATTCTATGCTCGGTTGATACGGAGTAGACCAGGTACATGCAATCTCAAATTGGTTGGTTCATTTATTTTTCCCATTTGCAAATAACTGTAAATTTCTATCAAAAGCGTGTTCTTTTCTTAGATGACAATTTAGGAAATTGTTGTTTGTTTTGCTGTTTGGGTGACTATCTAATGTAAATTGATTATGATAGCATTTATTCATTGGATTAACTTCTCCATATTTTGAGAACGCCAGCATGCCCATGTTAATTATTCACTGCGAACAGCAAATGCCTCTAGAAGCTGTGCATTATTGATATTCTGAATGCTAGTAACTTGACAGCCATTCTCTCTTGCAGTGTTCCTGAAGTCATTTCGTTGCCCATAACTGGTGGCAATCTGAAGTACCTAGAATGGATCAAGAGCAGCACAAAAGAGAACTGATGCCTTAGCAAGGAGAGAAGCATGTGCTTCTGTTCAAGGGACCTATGTACTAGTTGCATGGCTGTGGTCTACGGTTTTCACTTGTATGGTACTGTTGAGACTTTCTTGTTCTGTGCAAACTTTTCCTACTGCATGTGCTACCTTAGTTTGTATGATAAAGATTGGACTGACTGAAGACCTTCGCTCGCATAATTATTTTACGCGTGATGGTATCACATCCAATTATGTGTGTAGTATTTGTTGCTGTTATACAGTAATAGCTCTTTTTACCCCAAAAAAAAGAATTAAGTTATGCGCATAGCAACAGTGTTTATCTAAGTTGGCGTTGGCTAGGAAGCTGACGCTTAGTTCATTGACTGGTAGGTCTGTTGAGCGTAACCTCAGGCTCTGCTTGGCGATCAAGTGGCGTGGTTTCAGGTTCTAAATGAACTAAAAAAACTAGACCAGAGTTGACTCGAGTTTTCCCAAACATGAGTTTTCTCAGTTTTAGCGGGGTATGCCTTTATATGGAAGGCCCATCTCGCCTATCTTTATGTGTAACGGAACAAAGAAAATCATATCTGCATCTCAAATGTATATCTAGTCAATATGACCATAAAGCGTGTATAGGAGTTATTCTTCCACCGGTCGATGATTAGATCAGATCAATCTGCTTATTAGGGGTATTAGATCTATTTCTGCTGAAGTTCTAGATGTTTGATTGACGACTATCGCGAAGGCGGAGTGTAAAATTTCCTACCTTCCCTAACCCCTTCTCTCAAAATAGCTTGGCAAGGGTATGAGGAGGGGAAGGTTATGTGAGGTAAAATGCGATGAGACTGAGGAAAGGTCAGTTCTTTTGGCCAGTTTGCCTAATTCATTTTCTCTTTTCCTCTTGTGACCTTCCAAATACTAGTAAAGTGCACGTGCGTTGCAATACTAGTAAAGTGCACGTGTGTTGCACGTGAGCATACTTGTTTAACAGTGAAAATTTTAAATGCGGGCTGTAAAATAATGAAGGGAATCGATGGAGAACTCTCGATTCATGTACCTCAGTTGGCTTAAGTTTTACCAATATTCATGAAATCTAAATAAATGACGTAATAAAAGATTTGTGTGCTAGGACTTTTAGGTAATTAGATTGGCCAATAGCTGGAAGAACCTGAATCTGCGGGGTAATGAGATAAAAAAAAAGGAACCAATTCATATCATGTTTTAAATTTAAATACCTTATCAAAGTCTATTCTAATCATCGGTGTTTAAAGCTGAAACAAAACATAAAGACATAGAGAGTCGAATTTACTAAATAGCTGATATCCGACATGGATTAATAGCGTGAAAAAACTATAATCCTATGCATGAGCAAATTTATTCTGCAATCACAATAGCAACATTAAAAGATGCTTTAATATTAGAAATGTGAGACAAATATTTGCTCAATTTACACTAAGGTTCAAGCTATTTAAGGAAATGCTAAATAATAAGAGCTTTCCTATATAAATTTCTTAAACTTAAAGCTAAAATTGACATGTCTGGATGACTGAGATATATCATGAGAATAGGGACTTGTCACTAGTTGAAGTTCCGTGACAATTATAAGAGAGACTGATTATGTCGTTTTTATGCCTTTTATCAATCTCTAGTTCACAACTTAGCACTGAATCATTGCGATAGCAATTCCATAGAAATTCATTCCATCTTTAATGTTATCCTAGGCAGTTCAATTCTCAGAAATAGAAATCGGATGGCTGGAAGGAGAGGAATAGAGAGAAATAAATATCATGTATAAAAATGAGTTATTAATTAGAAGGTAAAAAGTCAAAGCTTAAGAAGATATCCCTTTAGTAAGCATGATTTATTAAATATAATATTTATTTTGGATGTATGTAAATATGATGTTGGTTGTAGTATTTATTCAATTTTTTTGTCTGAAATCACGATAAGAAAGTTTATTTTGCATTTCTCACTGTAACATCAAAAGGTTAATACAATTAGCCTAATGCATTCCTAATCGTGCCCCTACTTCATGATATTAGCATCATAGTTTTTTTTGGTACAATATATTTTCAAATTACACTGTGAAATACATTTAGCGGGTTGAATTTCAAAAGTATTTAATCTAATGAGATATCAAGATACATTCGCAACTAATCATCAAATTGATTACAACAACTTAAATCGTACCAAATCGGCTCATTTCTAAAATAATCAAGTTTCGAAACACATTTTTAAAATTCTAATTGAATTATAGAGGAACATACCATGCTAACACATGCTTGAGCAAATTTGATCCTCGAAAGAAGCTGACATCTTGTGCTCTACTAATTTCCCATTTTTATCCAAGTGGAGTTCTAGTTGAGCTTTTCTCTTGTAACTGTATGAACTTGGCTTAATAGGTATTATGGTGAGTGGAAGAAAATGTGTGAGCTAATTAATACTTAAGAGATGAAAGAGAAGTTACATAAAAATAAAAAGTGTTGTCTGTTAGTTAATTTGGTTTGTAGTTTATGCATTGATTCAAATTGAATTTTAAAAGTCTAAGACTCTACATCTTGTTATTATAATTATTTGATTAACTTTGTCTTATACTATTGCGTGACTGCTTGGGAAGAAATTTATAGTCTTGAGCAGAAATTTTGGACTCATTAGCCGCTGGTGCTCAATAAACACAAAGCAATGAAGAATGAGGTGCACCATCCTCTAATTCTACCTCTTAGCTGATCTCTACAGAACGCTGGTCCTCCAGTGGGTTAAACTTTGATGTCCCTCAAAACATTCGTTTCAACTTCTGAGAGAGGAGAATAGGTCCCAGGTCCCCCGACATGCAATTAATTCTACCTCTTTTCTCATTTCTAGTTCTGTTTTTATTTGGCCCTCACTTCAGCTCATTTTACCTCCCCCTTAAAAGACCCTCTACCAAACACAAATTACTTTTTTGTCCCTCCTCACACCTCACCTCATCCCTTACCATACCAAGCCTTAGTTGTTGCAAAAAACTACTCGAAAACCTCATTATAGTTTAGAAAAGGATGGGGTCTAAATTCTTAAGGGACAGGTATGGCCTGCTGATTAGCGCTCTAGTAGAAGAATATGTAGACTTCTAGTTCATCTTTGGGTAATGAGATGATGTATAGCAAGGTACTGATGCATGTCATCCATTGTTTATTCAATTATCAAGTCTCAGCTCAATTTTTTTTTAACTTGAGATGTCTTCTGTACGCAATAACTCTCTCTCATTTTCGATTCTCAATTATCTGTTGTTTTAAACCTGTGCATGCACATCTAGTGATGTTCATTACTCGCCAATCACCATGTCTTTTGCTTATAAATATTATCAGGTGTAAAGACATTAATTCCATTTTGTGATACTTTACATTACTGCTGAGTTTGAACTTTATTCGATCTTATCAGCACGCAAAAAAAAAAAAAAAAAAAAACCGATCTTATCAGCACGCAAAAAAAAAAAAAAAAAAAGACTAACCCAAGTCTTCATTTTGAAAAATTCTTGCCTACTCGTCTTCTCGTCACCTAATAATCTTTTTTTAAACCTTTTCTTCTCTCTCTACTTTTCTTCGAACTGCTGCCTAGACTACAGTACACATCCCCACCTACGTACTCAAAGAGGGACAAAAGAGAGAAAGGAGCCAACAGATTTGGAATCTCGTGTCGATTGCATGTGAGGGCCAATCACTGGATTCTTGCTTCTTAATTATGACCTCTGCCTACCCTTTTTAAGGAGAACCCAGCACATGATCACTAGATTTCTTCTGCATAATTGTTGTTATGCTTTTTAAGCTCAGAGATGGGAATGACGGTTGATAACTAATTACATGGTTTAAGGACAGTAATTGCTATTTATTTTAACACTAAGAATGTTTCGGCAATTGACAGTTAATTACTTTCGTTTATATAATTTTTTCCCCATTCTGACCATCGAAAAGTGGCTGAAAGTAAATTAGAAGGGGAGCATGGCACATCATCTTTTTGCCTATTTCATTTTCTTTAAAGTTTTGAGAAATTGAATTTAAAGTGAATTATGAGGAGAATATTTCCACTACACAAGAAGAGAATAATACAACACCCAACGCTCTCAAAACTATGACTAGGCTTAGCTGGCAAGGGGTAGATGGGGGTAAAAACACAACGGTTATCTCACAAGCTCCAAATACACTACCAACGTAAAGAATTACATTCTAACAACAAGTAGAAACTGACGAAGTTCCCCTAGATGTTGTATAATGTTGAAAATTAATCTAAGATGAGTTTCTGCAAGCCCTGATTTTCTTAATTTTTCCCTTTCTCTTCTTGTTTTTCTCTCCGTGCATGGAGAGAATAATAATATAGCACAAATAAAAGAATCCAATTCTTAATTTCCTACTTCAAGCTCCATTATATGACTTAATTTTTCAAGCCAAACCACAAGTGAGTTGCATCAATACGACCAATTTGTCATATTCCTTGGCCAAATTAATGTTACGACTAGATATAAGCCCACTAGTCATGATTATCGATCCAAATCCCATAATATGTACTCCTTAGTTAACACTTCAAATTTCCAATAGTATGTACTCCCTCTGTTCACACTTCAATTTTCCATCCTCTATTTTCTATTATTCAAATAAGATTTGTAAATAGAAAGTTAGGAGAAAGTAATTTCGTTTGCTTTCTACCTTATATTTACTTTCTACTCGCCAAATATATACCCTGAGCAATATAATAAATGATTGAATCAGTTATCAAAAAATTAAATGTCAGGTAAATGCGTGTTAAACTAAACGGGATTAAATAAAATGGTATTTCACGAAAATTGTGATTCTAACTCTCGTTCTAGCATCAGGGCGGATCTACCTTGGCGACGTGGTGTCATGTGACACCACCTCCACCAAGGGCCACCTCATGTTACAATGTGGCTTAAGCTAAGCTTCTGTTAATTTCTAGCATGCATATATATATCCGCATGATACCTATGTAACCATACACCAGCATGATCATCTTCTATCACCATATGGGATCATAAAAAAATTACACATGACTAATAGCCATATATGGGGATTACGGTTCCAACACTAGTAAAAAATCACGTATTCTAGATGGAATATTCTAGACGGAAATTTTTCCGTCTAGAATGTATTAAACTAGACGGAAAATTTCCGTCTAGAATATTCCGTCTAGAATAAAACATTCTAGACGGAACTTTCCGTCTAGAATAGTATACTAGACGGTTATTTTATTTTTATTATTATTTTTTAAATTTCCACGTATCCTAGACGGAAATTTCCGTCTGGAATACGTTGAAATTTAAAAAAAAAATTAAAAGCCTCAAAAACCCAGCGGCCCTTCTTTCCCCCTCCCCCAAATCGAAATTTTCAGCGCCTCCCCACCCCCCAAATCCTCAACTCCTACTCCTCCCTCCACCGCCTCCCCCTCCTCACCCTCTCCCTCCTCAACCTCACCCTCGACCCCTCCCCCCACTCTACTCCCTCTCCCTCCACGGCCTCCACCACCAAAAAGCAATTTAGAAGCTCAAGATCGCCGGGGATCCAGCAAAACCTTCTTCCCCGTCGAATCCCGTCACCAGCTCTCCGGCCTCCGCTGCCCTTCCCTCTCAAAATCCGCGTCGTCGTCGTCGTCGGCCATGGCGAGCTGCGGCTATCACTCTCCTCAGTTCTCAAAGGTCAGGTTTCTCCATTACTCCAAATTACCAAAATGCCATCGGCCGAATACTTCCATTTTTCTTTGATTTTGGTCCTATATCCAAATGGGTATTCTGTTTTCTGTAAACTTTCGTGTTAATATGTAAGTTAGATGATAAAGTTGGAGTCTTTGATGATAAATTTGATGAGTTTGTGTTCTTTGTGTGAAGTTTGTGCGAAACCCCATTTTTAGGAGTTTACATTTGGATGGATTACTAATTGCATTGTTCTACTTTTTTTTTATCATCAATTTGGTGTTTTATATATTTGCATTCATAGAGCCTACTGGTTGAGGCTTTCAGAGAATTAATTCATGTAGATTGAAGGGTAAATTTGCTTATCGCAATTGGATGTTTTGTTTTCTGTTTATTGTATTCTAGTACTCTGATCGATCATCAGTAAAGTGTAATGGTTATTGATCACAAAGAAAGTTTTTTGTTTCCTGTTATCGTTCACATATAATCGGTTTTTAAATATTGTCATGAACCAGTATTGTTAGTTCCGTAGGTTTGAAGTTAATTGTTATTTTTGTTGATGTATCTTAAATGAAGATGAGCATACCATTTCTCAGATCTCTAGCAAGGTATGCATTACCCCACTATTGTTTCCAGTTGCCTTTCAGATTCTAGCATTTTCGTCGTCCTCCATTTGTACTTCATTGACACTTTTCATTTTGCTACCGTCAGAAATTGGTATCATTACCAAAACATACAACAGATGGACAAGCAAAGCATTTTTTACAAGAGATGATGGTAAATATAGTGGTTTCCATCTGTATTTGTCCGGAGACGAGAATTCCTTAGCTGGAAATATGATGGGAAATATAGCTGGAAAGATTCAGAGCTCGGTATTGAGTCGCATTTCTACTAGTAATACTGGAAATTTTGGGGGAACACACTCCTACTAGTAATACTGGAAATTTTGGCTATGAGTCGCATTTCGGAGGTAAGTTTTTCTCCTTTGCTATCTCTCGAGATTTCTCCTAACTATATATAACTAAGGGGAAAACACAAACTCAGATAAGACTGATAAAGGGTTGGAAGAACCTAGAGGATCTGTCTTCTCAGGTTGGCTTTGACACCATAATGATTTCTGTTAAGAGTTGAGAAAATTATCTTAGTATGGTGCTTATAATACAACTTGCATTAGATGATAGGTGTACTTTTGCCAACGCAAGCCTGGATCAGTCTTCAGAAGGATGGCTTGCCAATTGCTTATCCGATATTGATACGCATCGTAGTTCTGGTGAAATGTCAGTACAATTTCTATAACATGAGCTTGATTCGATCTCCTTTGGAATAAAAAGTAAAAGCACCATTAATTTGTTGGTAACCAGTAATGTATGTATTTCTTACATGATTCTGAAAATTGGTAGCAGAATGTGGACAATGCCTGAAGCAAAAGATATCATCAGGACAACTGGGACTGGAGAAAATAAGATGAAGCTTGTTTCTAGCGATTGCAATTCACGAATTGTGAGAATCTCGGATTTCTTAATATTTTTTTTGGTTCAAAATTTTTAATTCTTCAATATGGATTTGCTTCCTCAGCTACATATTGGTATCAAAATAGCTCATAAGTTGAACATTTATTTTTGGTCTCTCCTATTGCCAGATGACTGAAATGCAAGAGCCTAAGAGCATCATAGGAAAAGCTCCCAAGACCCATACTACTATACAGTAAGTACAGTTTCATTATCTATAGAGGAAATTCTCATTTGTGCATGCTAGGTAGCAATAAAGTTCGAGCATAGAAGCAGTAAAGGCTGAAATTATGGACCACCTTATGAGTGGCAAGTATACAAGTAAGCATTCTTATGCTTGTTTCCTGAATTATGGTTGGTAGCCTAATAACAGAACTTATGTGATGTACATTCATTTATGCAATACCCTTGGCTTTTCTTCATGGGGTACCTCGTGTTTATTACAAGGGTCGCCAAGGGGACTATTATGTCATGGTAACTGATAATAAACGTCCTAGTTATGGATTTCTTTCGTATTATGTTTATATATATGTTGCTATGATCACCCCGTTATTTGTATAGGTGATGGATATGTTGGGAGTCTATGGGATGTTTGGTATGGGATGTTTGGAATAATAACTCCTATGCGTGAGTATTTGAACCTCTTTTGTGAATTTCTTAAGTTACTGTTTGTGTAAGTATGTAATCTTGACTGTTTCTCTTTGCAGAATGTCAACAGAAATGGTTGCTTGTATTGCTATTGAAGCAATCTCTATTTTAGAGAAGATGCATTCTAAAGGGTAGGCCTGCTCTTTACGCTATGAAGATGCAGAATCTCAATTTATGTAAAAGTGTGTAAACAATTTATGTATCTCTTTACTATTTTGGTGAATGTATTATTTGAATATAATGGGATTTAATATTGAAATATAATTAGATTGTGTTGGATATGAATATAATTTTTTGTTGTTCAATATTGTGTACATGCACCTAAAATAGATTCTGCAAAAAAAAAAAAAAAAAAAACTGTATCCTAGACGGAAATTCCGTCTAGGATGCTCAAATTCCGTCTAGGATGTTTTTTAAAAATAAAAAAATAAAAAATTAATTTCCGTCTAGAATAAGTATTCTAGACGGAAATTTCCGTCTAGAATACTTATTCTAGACGGAAATTTTTTCCGTCAAGGATGCATTATTCTAGACGGAAATTCCGTCTAGAATAATCCGTCTAGGATGTATTCTAGACGGTTTTGAATTCCGTCTAGAATATTCCGTCTGGAATGTATTCTAGACGGAATTTCCGTCTAGAATACTACATTCTAGACGGAAACATCCTAGACGCCTATTCTAGACGGAATTCCGTCTAGAATACACATTCTAGACGGAATTCTGAGTATCCTAGACGGAATTTTCCGTCTAGGATACCTTATTTTTTAGCAGTGCAATATGGTATAGCGAAAGGCCTTCATAGGCTAACAGTTTTGTTACTAAGCGATATTTATTTTATAGTGTTACTAACGATGTATTTGATAGTGTTACTAAAAATTTGATTATCTAGTTTTCTTTGAAGCATGAAAACTCGTTAGCTACAGTTGTAAATTTTTTTAATTGCTAATTATATGGGAGCGTTTGGCAGCCGTGGCGTTTTTGTCGTTTCTGCTTTTTATTTTTAACAAAAACAATAAAACGTGTTTGGCAACCGGGGCGTTTTTTGACTTGCCCCTTTACAAATTCTAAAAAATAAACACTTTTCTCAAAACACCAAAAAGGTGTTTTAAGATTTCGTTTTTTCATCTAAGCTGCCCACCGCCGCTCGCCTGTGGCCGCCCGCGCCAGTCGTCCGACCCACCGCCGCGCCCGCCCAGACCGCCCGCACGTCTACCGGCCGCTGGCAGCTCGACCGCCGACGCTCGGCCGACCATCGTTCGGCCCGCACGCCACCCCTGCGCCTATCGCCGCCGCCCCCTACCACCCGCACGCCCGCCTACCCGGCTGCCACCACCGATCCGGCCAGCGTCGCCGCCCACCGACCGCCAACGTCCGTCGTCCGCCCGACCGCCCGTCGGCCGCGTCGCCGCGACCACCACCAGTTCCACGGCCACTCGTCCGCGCGCCACCCGTCGCCGCCGCTACGCCCCGTCGCGGCGCGTCGCCCGACGGTTCGTCGTACGTCCGCCGCTCGTACGCCCCCTGAAGTCCGCCCCGGCCACCACCGCCCTGCCGCCGCCTGCCCGTCACCCGACCGCCTGCCAGCCGATGCGTCTCACCGTCGCCGCCCTTCGGTCGCCGTCGCCCCCATCAGGCCGCCGCCGTCGCTTTATAAATAATAACTATAAATGGTGTTTTCAAAACATGTTTTAAAAAAACACCATGACATGGTGTTTTTCTAAAAAACACAAGAAAAACAAACACTTCGATTACCAAACACACCCATAACACAACTTTCTAGAAATCCTTAGATCAGCTATTGCCTAGCATGAAAACTTTGAACGAGCTTTAGCATGAAGGAACTCTTTAAGCTTATGGCCATTATAAAATGAGAATGTAGGCTCTCGACAAGCAAACAAACAAACAGAGAGAGAGAGAGAGAGAGAGAGAGAGAGAGAGAGAGAGAGATCCACATATAAATATGTAAAGTCGTTTAATCCATGTTCTTATTCGAGTATAAATGAATTAAAATTTTGTTTAATGATAGTTCTCTCTTCATCATGGAGATCTTCCACCGAAATTATACACAAATGCTACTTTATGGTACATGGTGACATGTGAAAGGAACGATATATGACTTAAACCTTTTTGTAGTAAACTTATTTTCAGTTACATGATTTAGCTCAGCTAAACAAATTTTACGGTTAGAAACTTAGAGCCCATACTTTTGGATTGGATTCTAATTTTTTGATAGAACTCTTGACCTTTTGCTTTAGAGTGAGGGTCGGGTTCTTAGATTAAATTTTAGATTCGTAGATTATTTGCATTATGAGTTTCAAATTAAATTATTATGTTAAATAATTATTATTAGCAAAAATTAAACATTAGTTTGAAAAACATGCACCCTCATTTCGATTAATGGATAGCAACAACAAAACTAAATACATATTGTAATCTATTTAAACAGTTCAAACAATGCCACATAAAAGAAGATAACTAGTTTTTAAGCATATAAATAAAAATAACTAGTGTTCAAATACATAAAAGGAAATAACTAGTGTTCAATCATATAAAAACCAATTTGCATATTTAAATATGTAAAAATAAATATATTAGAAAATTTTGATATCAAACATTTCACATCAAATATTTGAATAATTTAATATTGATCAAGCAAAATTAAATATTGAACAAGCAAAATTGACTCGCGCGTTGCGACGACAAAGGTGTGCAAAAAGCCAAAAGAATAACAATTGAAGCATTTAGTTTAAAATCATACTATATTTTTGACCACTCAAGTAGCAATAAAAATATAGTGATTTACACTATATATACACCAAAATTTGAAATTAATTCTGCGGAGTATTTAGCGTCTGAGGGTAATTTTCGAAAGTGAATGAGTTTTGAAAATAAATAGGGTACAATTGTCTTATACGCAAAAAAACACATCTACAGTTTATTATACCGCAACATTAATATAAAAGAGGACAAAAAATAGCACTTTACACATTTGGTTTAAAATACACTAAGGGCTTAGAACAAAAAGATAGCTAATATTGATAAAATATAGCAACTTATATTGTATCTAAAATTGCTGGAATATAAAGCAGTTTGAAATTAATCCAATGTACTATTTTTCGGTCTTAAAGTAATTTACAAGCAAATGGGTTTCAAAATAAATGGGGATATATTTAAGGTTTATAGAAAAAAAACTCCTTTGGGAAAGTTGGAGCATTTAAAAATAAATGTGACTAGGACTCTGTTTTATAGACAAGCAAACTCATTTACAGTTTCAATGCAAGAACCTTGATGTAAAAAACAAAAGATAAAATTATAAACACTTTGTATTTTGGATCTAAGAGTAATTATAAAGTAGGTCGGTTTAAAAATAAATGAAGATAAAATTTTGTATTTATAGGTGAAAAATCATAATAGAACTTTTGAAGTTGGCGAGTTTAAAATAGGGTTTTTACATCAAAACCATATTTACTTTTACCCAAATTGATACTTACCATCGTTAAATTTTTTATGTAAATCATATTTACTTGTTAAAATATTTGCAATGTCACCAGTTGTCAGCCAAAAATATGCGAAATGACTATTTTACCCTCGTCATTTTCTCTTTTTTTTCATCTCCTTCCTCACAAACCCTAACCTTGGCCTCCCCATCCTCATCCTCTTCCCGTCTTCCCTCTTCCTTCTCCCCCAACTCTCCTCCCCCTTTCTCGTCCTCCTTCTTCCTCCCCGACCTCCCACTCTCCCATTCCTTTCTAAGTGGGAACTAGGATTAGGGTTAGGGTTTAGGGGAGGTGATGGCCATGGGTTAGGGTTAGAGTTAGGGTTTTGGGGGAGGTGGTAGCCATAGGTTAGGGTTAAGGTTTTGAGGGAGGTGGCAACTATAGGTTAGAATTAGGATTAGGGTTTGTAGAAGAGGAGGATGAAGGAGGCTAGGGTTAGGGTTAAGAGTTGGAATGAAGAAGATGGGGAGTAAAATGAAAATGTCTAATTTTTCTTGGATGAACAGTAAAAAAAAAGTGTGATATTACAAACATGTTAACAAGTAAATGTGGTTTACGTAAAAAAACTTTAAAGGTTGTAAGTATCAATTTGGATAAAAGTAAAGATAGTTTTGATGTAAAAACCCTTAAAAATAAATGAGGTAAAACATTAGATTCAAAGGCTAGAAACACAACTTTGAATATGGCGGATTCAAATAAATGGAAGGAAGATTTGGTCTTGAGAGCAAAAAAAACCAAAAGAAATGTTTAATTGGGTGCACTGTACCTATAAATAAAATATAGTAAATTACATCACTCACCAAAGTGTTTGAAATAGATAAATGAATAAGATAATTAACTGAAGTATTTTTGGGTTTAAAAATGAATTTTAAGTTGGTGAATTTAAAAGTAAACGGGGATAAAATTATAGAATTCTAGTTAAGGGCATGTTTGGCTACTACTTATTTTATGATTACTTCTAAGTTACTTATTAGTTATTTTGTTAGAGGGCATGATAGTCTTTTTACATTGATAAGTAAATCTACTTAAAAGTATCAAAATAAAGATGCAGAACTTATTTTTTTCCTACTTATAAGTTAAAATCAAGTAATAAATGAATCATTACCAAACATAATTTTGACATTTTTTAAGTAAAAAGATACCTATAAGTAAGTAAGTTGCCAAGCAATCTAAAAAGATAGTAAAAACTTTGAAAGCGGGTGGGTCTTAAAGTAATTGAGGTAAAACTTAGGGTTTATAGGAAAGAAACACACTTCGGAATTGGATGCGTATAAAACTAAATGTATGAAAACTTTGGGCTTATATGAAAATCGCCAAATCATACGCGTTTTTGGGTTTATAGGGCGCACTGTAGCCATGAATATACCCAATTGTTTTAGTACCTTGATAAATATTTATATTATTTAATATTAAAAAATTTAGGGGAAAATGTTTTAAGGCCCCCCCAAAAAAATCCAGATGTGACCCAGCCCCACCATCTTTTTCCCTTACTCTTTAACCCTTAAAATCCCAAAAAATATGTTCAGCCCCCTTTTAACACTCTCCAATGAATACATCTCAAAACATTCCGAAAATACCATTTCCTTATCTTCTTCTTCTTCTTCTTCTTCTTCTTCTTCTCTGTGGTTTTCTCCTCGTTCCCCACTCCTCTCAATCTCCTCCCCTTCTCCTCCTCCCCTCCTCCTCCTCTCAATCTCCTCCCCCTCCCCTCAATCTCCTCTCAATTTCCTCCCCTCCTCTCAATCTCCTCTCAATCTCCTCCCCCTC